GAATCCTATGGAGATTAGCTCACGTATCTCTCAGCCACCCCCAAAACACCCCCTCTACCTTCCATCCATCCATCCATAACGGAAGACCAAAATCCACCCACCCTTTCCTTTCAAAAGCAAGGATGTCCACTAAGGATGGCTAGAATAGGCATGGGTAAACTTCGGCCCTCCAGGTGTTTTGGACTTCAACTCCCACAATTCCTAACAGCCTACCGGCTGTTAGGAATTATGGGAGTTGAAGTCCAAAACACCCGGAGGGCCGAAGTTTGCCCATGACTGGTTTAGAAGAATGAAAAGGGAGGGTTAGATAGCTCAGCCTTTGAAAGGCAGCATCAACAGATGTCTGATATGAAGAAATCAGGGGACTTCTTATATCTATCGAATAATAACAGTATTGCACATTTCAATTTCCTGACAAAAGAGCCCTTTATCTTTGCCTAGTGAAAGCCATTCTACTTTTGTATTGTCAAAGGCTTTCATGGCCAGAATCACTGGGTTGTTGTGAATTTTCTGGACTGTATGTCCATGTTCCGAAGGCATTCTCTCCTCATTTTGCCCACATCTATGGCAGGCATCCTCAGAGGTTGTGAGGTCTGTTGGAAACTAGGAAAACGGGGTTTATATATGAGGGTTGAATAAAAAGTAATGCCTCCACCTTCCTAACTCCTCAACAGATGGCATTACTGGTATGCAACAGGCACTGGCTTGTTCAGTAGACTCTCCTCTACAGTTCCATTTTGGCAGGAAGCCTTAGCATTGAACAGTTGTGTTGTTAAAGTGCGAATTATGGAACCCTGCACAGATGGTCCGTCAATGCGACTTATGCAATGTGCAGTCGCAGTCATTGAATTCTTGACAGCAGAAGGTGTCACCTCAGCATCTTTAAACTTATTCACCCAGTGACGCACAGTACTCCCATCAACACAATCACCATAAACAGCTTGTATTCTCTGATGAATCTTCTTTGGGGTGACACCTTCTGCTGTCAAGAATTCAATGACTGCACGCTGCTTGTCTCATTGACCGACCGTCTGCAAATGGTTCCATACTTCGCACTTTAGCAACACAACCGTTCAATGCTAAAGCTTCCTGGCAAAATGGAACTTTAGAGGAGAGTCTACTGAACAAGCCAGTGCCTGCCGCATCCCAGTACTGCCATCTGTTGAGTTACGAAGGTGGAGGCATTACTTTTCATTCAACCCTTGTATCTGGAATGTCCAGGGTGGGAGAAATAACTCGTGTCTGCTTGAGGCAGGTGTGAATGCTGCAATTGGTCAACTTGATTAGCATTTAATGGCTTAGCAGTTTCAAGGTTTGGCTTCATACTGCCTGGGGGAATCCTTTGTTGGAAGGTGATTAGCTAGCCCAGATTGTTTCTTATCTGGAATGCCCCAGTTTTATGTGTTCTTTATTTACAGTCCTGATTTTAGAGTTTTCTAAATACTGGTGGACAGATGTTTCATTTTCATGGTTTTTTCCTTTCAGTTGAAATTGTCCACATGCTTGTGGATTTCAATGGCTTCTCTGTGTAGTCTGACATGGTGGTTGTGAAAGTGGTCCAGCATTTCTGTGTTCTCAAATAATATGCTGTGTCCAGGTTGGTTCATCAGGTGCTCTGCTGTGGCTGACTTCTCTGGTTGAAGCAGTCTGCAGTGCCTTTCATGTTCCTCGATTCGTGTCTGGGCAATGCTGCTGCGCTTGGTGGTCCCTATGTAGACTTGTCCACAGCTGCATGGTATACAGCAGACTCCTGCAAAGGTGAGAGGGATCCTCTCACCTCTGAATTCCAGACAAGAAACAATCAGGGACAGCTAATCACCACCCAACAAAGGATTCGTCCAAGCAGTACTAAGCCAGATTTTGAAACTGCTAGGCCATTAAGTGCTCATCAAGGTGGCCAATTGCAACATTCACCCATACCTCAAACAGACAAGAGTTCTTTCTCCAACCCTGGACATTCCACAGATATATAAAGCTCGCTGTCTAGTTTCCTACAGACCTCACAAACCTTGAGTATGCCTGCCATAGATGGAGGCGAAACATCAGGAGAGAATGCTTCTGGAACATGGCCATACAGCCTGGAAATCTCACAACAACCCATTCTGCTTTTGCTACCGGATATGTCCAGCTGTGCTCATCAATTGGCGGAGGCTCTTTAGACATGCTTCATGCTCACTTCAGCTCATTTTAATAGCAAGGTGGAGATATGTTTGTACAAACGGATGGACAGAGCAAGGTGTCTGCTCCTTCCTCTGCATATTCCCTCCCAGGCTACAGGTTGTTAATTGTCTCGCGCAGCGCCAGGACATTTATGCAATGATTTGGTGACTAGCCACGTTTACTGTACTTCTAAACCTCATTTCCCTCTGACCTTACTGTCTCCAACTCTCCTTCCATCCATGTGCGCCACATATAAACCTGAAATTCTAGATAATGCTTCATGCCTTGATGAAATGACCTATAGTCAACTCAAGCAGCTGCTAAAATGAGATCTTCGCAGTGCCACGGGACTCTTTGTTGTTTTGTCCTAGAGTAACCCCACTGAGAGCTTCAAACACACCTTCCTCGATTCAGGCCAATCTCTTGGGAGGGGAAATTAACCCCAGGATATCAAGCAAAGAGACATTTAATTGGGAATTTCTAACCTGAAAAGCAACTTTCGCTGGGCACATCCCGTGAGAGTGAAATGTGCAATGGAAAGAAGGAAATGCATGCCCATAAAAAGGACCAGAAGATTCTTTGCTGACTGTAGGAGATTCCACCTGAACATGAGGAAGAACTTCCTAACTGTGAGAGCTGTTCAGCAGTGGAACTCTCTGCTCCGGAGTGTGGTGGAGGCTCCTTCTTTGGAGGCTTTAAACAGAGGCTGGATGGCCATCTGTCAGGGATGCTTTGAATTCGATTTTCCTGCTTCTTGGCAGAAAGGGGTTGGACTAGTTGGTCCATGAGGTCTCTTCCAACTCTATGATTCTATCTCTAGGCCTGTCAGGACCTAAACATCTCAGGAGGCATCGAATACTTCTACAAAGGTTATGGATGGACACTGTATGAATTAACACTGTCATTGGAAATATTTCTGCAGAGTTGGCTTGATTGCTTCTGTAACTCCCTCGACAGAGGTAGCTTTGCAAAGGATGGATTGGCAGCTATGGTTCCTCCTTGCAGCGACAACGTATTTTGCACCCAGATCATGCTTATATCGATTTTGAAAAGTCTGGATATCAATCTTCATGCACTTTAGTATGCTGCGTTTGGCACATCAGGATTGATGTCCTTGTTCTTTTTCATGTTATTCAGTACACCCTCACATCCCCAGAAGTGCCATCTACAACTTCATTTATTCACATCCAATAGGATATTGTTGGAGCATGTAAGAAATCAGTTAGTGTGTGTGTCTGTCAACTGTAAAATAAGATGAATGAAGCAGACTGGCTGGAAAACTAGCTGAGCCTGGGACTTTTACATACTGTTACATTTTTCAGGCTTGAGCTTTGCATGTGCTTGCAGAGAAGCAGATAGTAGGCTTGGGCAATCCATGGTTCTAAATGGTTCTAAAGTACTTACAAAACTAAAGTTCTGGTGGTGAAAATTTCAGAATTCTAACAAAACTCTCAACATTTCATTATAAATGGCAGTTCCTAATTGGTTCTGTCATAAAAATCACCAATAATGAAATAATAATTAAATTTTGAAAGTTTTGTTAGAGTTCTGAAATTTTCACCACCAGAACTTTAGTTTTGTAAGTACTTTAGAACCATTTAGAACCATGGATTGCCCAAGCCTAGCAGATAGAGATACAGAAAGACAGTTTGAAGTGTACTGTCGAAGGCTTTCATGGCTGGAATCACTGGGTTGTTGTAGGTTTTTTGGGCTATATGGCCATGGTCTAGAGGCATTCTCTCCTGACGTTTCGCCTGCATCTATGGCAAGCACCTCTGAGGATGCTTGCCATAGATGCAGGCGAAACGTCAGGAGAGAATGCCTCTAGAACATGGCCATATAGCCCGAAAACACCTACAACAACCCAGTGATTCCGGCCATGAAAGCCTTCGACAAGACAAGAGTTCTTTCTCCCACCCTGGACATTATTCCACAGATATATAAACCCAATTTTCCTAGTTTCCAAACAGACCTTACAACCTCTGAGGGTGTCTGCCATAAATGAAGGCAAAACGTCAGGAGAGAATGCTTCTAGAACATGTCCATACAGCCCGGAAAACTCACAACAACCCAGACAACATTTTTGTTTACCAATATATCACTCAAGCACCACATCATGTTCCCCAGGCCCCACAGACAAACACATTTTCCCATCTCCGCACCTACATATCCATTTCTCCTCTCCTTCCTCTGCTTCTTCCAGTGGTACTGGATTTACAAACCCAGATGCTACATTAGCTTAAAATGCACTGCACACATTCAGAGAAATCTTGTAGCAGTGCGTAGGATGTCCAGGGAGGACCCTGTGGGCAACGAAACATGGTATGGCTGTTGTATAAGAAAGCAGCGTTTCAAAAGGCTCTTGAGATTTGAATGCTTTCAAGAGCATGAAATATTTCTGGCTGTAATTTGCTTGCAAATGGCAAGAATAATACTATTCCGTCAGCAGTTGTGGATTTTACAACAGCCCAATACTACTTGTGACTTTTTTTTTTCCTGTCAGGAGCGACTTGAGAAATTGCAAGTCACTTCTGGTGTGAGAGAATTGGTTGTACTGGGGATTTTGGTAAATTGCATACTCTTTTGATATTACACATAGATTGTTTTGTGTTTGTGCTGATACCCTACAAGTACTCTGGGATATTGTATAGTGAGAGAATTGGTTGTCTGCAAGGATGTTGCCCAGGGAATGCCCGGATGTTTTGATGTTTTACCATCCTTGTTGGAGGCTTCTCTCATGTCCCCACATAGGGAGCTGGAGCTGACAGAGGGAGCTCATTCGTGGTCTCCTTGGATTCGAAACTCCAACCTGTTGGTCTTCAGTTCTGCTGGCACAAGGGTTTAACCCATTGCACCACTGGGGATTCCTTGTGACTGACTTGCCATAATTGGAAACGTCACTGTTTGGATTGCAATTCCAAAATCCACAGCTGTTCAGAGATTCTGGGAGCTGCAATCTAAAATTTTCTCAGCTCCAACAGTTGCTTGGCAGTGCCAGGCAAGCAGCAAACATAGGAATTTAAATTAAGTTTCCTGGTAGGCTTATCCTATTAATATCTACATGAGTTCTGCAGGTGAGACGAGGCCTTTCGAGAGCCAATGTGGAGTAATGGTTTCAGCATTGGACCAAGACCCTAGAAACCAGGGTTCACATTCCCATTCAGCCATGGAAATTTAATGAGTGACTTTGGGCAAGTCTCTCTCTGCCTCAGAACAATGCAAAGGCAAACCCCCTTGGAACACATATTGCCAAGAAAAACCCACAGTAGGATTGCCATGAGTTGGAAACGATTTGTAGAAGTCACAGATTGTTCCAGCACAGTCTCCGCAGTAAACAGAAGGTTTCATAATCTCTCCCACTCTTGTCCATCTATCATACAAGTTCGACCGCCTCCTGCTCCCCTCCGTTTTCCTGGTGCACTATGCATCCCACTTTGTTGTTGAAGAGGCGGGAGAGGGTCCCTTTCTGAGAGCGCCTGCCCTGGATGGATCTCTCCTTGAAGCGCCGCTTGTTCCGCTTGTAGATCTGCCGAACGTCCCAGATCCTGAGCGTGCCATCGTGGGAAGCTGTGTACAATAATTCATTGTGAATCTGGAACAACAGGGCCATGCTTAGGACAGCTTAGCCACCACAACCATTGCAGCACAACGCAGAAGCAAACAAGCAGCTTTTATTGCAAAAATGCAAGGCATGCAATTTGTAGAGCAGCCCCCCCCCCCCCCTTTGTATGCACAAACCCAGAGATCTCTTTCCCTGGATATCTTTGCAAAGAAGCTGAAAATCTGTACATCTAGTGGATGCTCTAGTAGGCATTCCTACATTAAGTGTTGTTGTTGTTGTACTCTAGTTGGAGATCCTGTATTAAATGTTGTTGCTGTTATACTCTAGTTGGAGATCTTGCGTTAAGTGTTGTTGTGGTTGTGGTTGTTATTATTGTTATTATTCTACTCTAGTTGAAGATCTTGTATTAAATGTCGCTGTTGTTATACTCTAGTTCAGTGGTTCTCAACCTTCCTAATGCCACGACCCCTGAATACAGTTCCTCATGTTGTGGTGACCCCCAACCATAACATTATTTTCGTTGCTACTTCATAACTGTAATTTTGCTACTGTTATGAATCATAATGTAAATATCTGATATGCAGGATGTATTTTCATTCACTGGACCAAATTTGGCACAAATACCCAATACGCCCAAATTTGGACACTGGTGGGGCTGGGGAGGATGGATTTTGCCATTTGGGAGTTGTAGTTGCTTGGATCAAAGACCATTCTGAACTCCACCAGTGATGGAATTGAACCAAACTTGACACACAGAACTCCCATGACAAGCAGAAAATACCGGAAGGGTTTGTTGGGCATTGACCTTGAGTTGTGGAGTTGTAGTTCACCTACATCCAGAGAGCACTGTGGACTCAAACAATGACGGATCTGGACTAAACTTGCCATTGATACTCAATATGCCCAAATGCAGAGTTTGAGGGAAATAGACCTTGACATTTGGGAGTTGTAGTTGCTGGGAATCATTGTTCACCTACAACCAAAGAGCATTGTGAACCCCACCAATGATAGAATTGGTCTAAACTTCCCACACATAACTCCCATGACCAACAGAAGATACTGTGTTTTCTGATTGTCTTTGGCGACCCCTCTGACACCCCTTTGTGACCCCCCCCAGGGGTCCTGACCCCCAGGTTGAGAAACACTGCTCTAGTTGGTGATTTTATTAACACTATGTATCAAACTTTTAAAAAAATTACATCTGTTCCTGAATTGAAAGTGCTACGTTACGTATTTCCTGTGTAATTGTGCAGTACTTACTTTGAAAGTAGTTGTTATACTCCAGAAACGTCATTTTTGAGGGTAGTACTATTATTTTATTCCATCTAGGCACTTGGTTTGTAATTTTCCTTAATGGAAATATGCCATTTTTAGTCTTTCAATGTGCAAACCGCAACAAAGTTTTTGCAGTTTAACAAACCTATTCCATGTTTTTATGATAGAACCAATTAGGAAGGATTTATGCTTTTATTGCGGAGGATTTATGCTTTTATTGTTTTTACTGTTTATGGAATTTTATGTATGTTATATGCTTTTAACTGTTTTTATATTATTGTGGCATCGAATTGTAAACCGCCCTGAGTCGCTCTCTGGCTGAGAAGAGCAGTATAGAAGTATAGTAAATAAATAAATAATAAATAGGAAATGGCATTTATAACCCAGGCACAAAAATTGTGTTAGGTTTCTGCTGACATTAAGTCCAGTCATGTTCAACCGGGGGTTGGTGCTCATCTCCATTTCTAAGCCAACAAGCCAGCGTTGTCCATAGACACCTCCAAGGTCATGTGGCCAGCACAGAACTCCCATGACCAACAGAAAATGCTGGAAGGGTTTGGTGGGCATTGACCTTGAGTTTTGGAGTTGTAGTTCACCTACATCCAGAGAGCACTGTAGACTCAAACAATGATGGATCTGGACCAAACTTGCATGAATACTCAATATGCCCAAATGTGAACACTAGTGGAGTTTGGGGAAAATAGACCTTGACATTTGGGAGTTGTAGTTGCTGGGATTTATAGTTCACCTACAATCAAGAAGCATTCTGAACTCCACCAATGATAGTATTAGGCCAAACTTCCCACACAGAACTCCCATGACCATCAGAAAATACTGTTTTTTCTGATGGTCTTTGGTGACCCCTCTGATGTCCCTTTGCGACCCCTCCTCACCAGGGGTCCAGACCCCAAAGTTGAGAAACACTGTCATAGAGTCTCAACCAATTAAATACAGTTTGTGGCAGCCACAAAAACAAAGTTTCTGGAATATAACACCTACTTTCAAAATAAGTACTGCACAGTTAAACAGGAAATAACATTAGGTTCTTGTGGGTTTTTTCGGGCTATAGGGCCATGTTCTAGAGGCATTTCTCCTGACGTTTCGCCTGTATCTAGGGCAAGCATCCTCAGAGGTAGTGAGGTCTGTTGGAAATAGGACAATGGGTTTATATATCTGTGGAATGGCTGGGGTGGGGCAAAGAGCTCTTCTCTGCTGGAGCTAGGTGTGAATGTTTCAACGGATCACCTTCATTAGCATTTGAAGGCCTGGCTGAGCCTGGGGGAATCTTTTGTTGAGAGGTGTTAAGATGTGCCTGGTTGTTTCCTCTCTGCTGTTTTGCTGTTGTAATTTTAGAGTTTTTTTAATACTGGTAGCCAGATTTCGTTCATTTTCATGGTCTCTTCCTTTCTGTTGAAATTGTCCACATGTTTGTGGATTTTAACATTTTCAAACAGGAACAGAAACATTTTGATTTTTGTACATAATGTAATATTTCTCCACTTATATCTGAAAAAATTCTTCATATCAGCCTAGTAGTGTAGACTGTCAAGGTTTCAGCACCGAAATCATGTTCCAAAGCTTAAGCTCGGGTTATATTAAGCCCTCTGACCGTTCCAAACACTTAGCCTCAAATATGATACAAATCTAGGAATTTCAAGCTTAAACAGAGCTGCTCTGTGCAGGCTAACAAGGAGGAGGAGGAGGAGGAGAATAGCCACCCATGGAGAGAAGATTACCATATTATGGGGGCTTTCACAGGGATTCCATTCCTTCCTTCATCCACCGTTCCTCACGAGAAGCCCCCCTACACAATTCCTCTTAAAGCAAACCAGCCTGGGCTCTTTCAGCTTCTCTTCCAAGAGACTAATGAATGCATGGCCCACGCACAGATCCTACTCGAGATGACTTCACTCCACGCTCAGTACGAGGAGAGCCGAGGCGTCCCTTTTACCGAGACATGACTGGCTGTCAAGACGCCCACAGTGTTTTCAGGGGGAAGGGATGTGTTCATGCGGAGCCAAAGGCAGCACGCAACACAACCATGACAGATCCCATTTATTCTCCCAAGTTCAAAGCAACGAGAGACAGGGAACAACAGAAAACCCAGAAGGAACCAAGCAGACACCCTACCTGAGCGTTAGAAAGGAACTGATACGCTACAGATCTAAGAATCCCTTAGACAACATTGGGGATAAATTCACTAGCCAGGTGGGTTGAAACGATTCTGATAATTGTAATAAAGTAAAGGTTTCTCCTGAGTAGTTGTGTCCAATTTTGAGGGGTGGTGCTCATTTCCATTTCTAAGCCAAAGAGTCGGCATTGTCCACAGACACCTCCAAGGTCATGTGGCTGGCATGACTGCATGGAGTGCTGTTACCTTCCTGTTGAAGCAGTACCTATTGATCTACTCACATTTGCATGTTTTCGAACTGCTAGGTTGGCAGAAGCTGGGCCTCACAGCGGAAGCTCACTCTGCTCCCCGGATTCGAACCGCTGACCTTTCGGTCAGCAAGTTCAGCAGCTCAATGATTTAACCCATTGTGTCACCAGGGACTCCTGATAGTTGTAATACACAAACCTCCCCCCCCCCACACCCCAAATATGAATAGTACTCAGAACTAGTCACAGTGCCATTTAATTGCATGCAAATGTGTAAGACAGAAATAGTGATCATGACCTCCATAGAGCTTCAAGCATTCTTCACCACTAGTTATACTGGCTGATAGTTGATGGGAGCTGCAATCCAACAACTAATGGAGGACCTTATGGTTTTCATCTCTAGTGTGTAGGATTGCACCCTGGAAATAAAAAATCCAGGAAACTATAGACCAGTACTGGGAAAAATATTAGAACAAAGTCTATAGGAGTCTATCTGGAAGTATCTTGACATAGTAATCAGCAAGAACCAGCATGGGTTTGGCAAGAACAAATCAGGGTCACTGGTTCAGATTAGAATTGGTCCTAATTCCATACCCACCCCAAAGTGTGAGGCTGCTCTAGAGTTTATGTAATGTGGGATAAAACTGGGTTAAACCACATTTTACCCAGTGTGATGTACTGGAAGACCTTAGATCAGGATGGGTAAACCCAGGCCCAGGGGCAGGATGCGGCACCTTGGGCTCTGTCCTCAGACCCTCCTCTCTCACACCATCCTATCCTTCCTTCCTTCTCTTTATTTCGTCTTTCCGTCCTTCCCTTCCTTCCTTCCTTCCTTC